GAGAGAGGTATTACTTGTCATCTCAACTGCCTGATGAGTCATAGAATCAGCTATTTCCTCTTCTACATGGGCAACTATCTGTTTCGTTTTCTTCCAGTAGAGCTGGTTGGTAATTGGATGGTTAGATAAAAACAAGTTACGTGTTTTTCATAAGTATGGCTTATTTACTCCTGGTAACCATAAAACAACATAACCACTATGTGCATCAGATTAATTTGACTATAAATGTATTTAACTTCCATTCCAAACTCTGTGTATGTTTATTCTTCAGTTTATTTCTCTGGTAACAAATGTAGCCACTCACAACCTAACCAAAATTAGAAGGAGCTCTGCTAAACTAAGCTCAAATCTTTCTCACCTCCCACTCCCTATATACACACTTCAGATTAGACTGTTTTACCACACTTGGGCAACATTCAGCACTTTTCAAGGGCATCTGGGGTCATGACAGAGATTTTTTTCTAATAGCGAGCAAGGAAAGTTCACAATGCCTTTTACGGCAAAAACAAATACTCTTAAAGACTGGTCCTCTGCATTTGCTGTACGTTTTTTGTATTAGTCATCTACTGCTGTATAACAGGTCCCAAACATAACATCTTAAAACAACAATAAGCATTATTTCAGTTTGTGTGGGTCAGGAAGTTGGGGGCAGCTTAGCTGGGTGATTCTGGCTTGGGGTCTCTCAATCAGGTTGCAATCAAGATGTTGTCCAGGAATGCAGTCATCTGAAGGTGTGGCTGGGGTTAAGGAAATCTGCTTTCAACACGGCTCTCTTACAAGAGCTGCCAGGTTGGTACTGGCTATTGGTATCCTCCTGTATTAACCATAGGGTTGTTCATGTCTTCATAACATGGCAGCTGTCTTCCCCCAAAGAAAGTGATCCAAGAAGGAAAGCCAGAAGCTACAATGTCTTTTATGACTTTAACCTCACAAATCACACACTATCATCTCTGCAAAATGTTACTGGAAACATAGGTCAGCCCCACTCAGTGGCATGGGACCACAAAAAGGTATGAATGCTGGGAGACAAGGATCATTAGGGGCCATCTTAAAGGCTAGCTATCATCATGCTACTCTATCACATACAAAATATAAGTTCCTTGAATAAAGCATGTGGCCAATGTAGTCACTGAAAAAGGGTATTTCCTATTATTTATTATTGAATTTGCATTCTTTGTTACACATTAGACTTGGGAGATATTGTTAGTGTCAATAATTGCTCAAAGTCTGATCAGCTATGGGCATGGGGATAAAATCCCCTTCCATATAACTCTTGTGTCATTGTGCTATGCCAGGGAGTTCACTCTGGCTGGCTCTATATTCTTTGGTGTACCCTGTATTACTGTATGAGACCTTCCATTGGGACTTAAGGCAAGAGCTTAGATTCTGTTCTGAAGGGCAGCAGCTGAATTATTTTAAGTAGGGGAGACGCTAGGTCATATTTGCATTTTATTAGGTTCATTATTACCTGTGTACAGGATGAAGTGGTGGTGCAAAGGAAGACAGAGCAATACTGGAGATGGACCTCTTAAGAGTCTATTTCAGAGAGTCCTTTTATCACAGGTGAAGTTTTACAGCTCTCAGCACTTGTTATCATTATAAATTTCCTCATCAACTAGGCTGAAGTTCAACGAATTGAGAGAAAGGAAAAAAAGAAAAGCCCTAATTTGTAGCATTTGCTAATTTCTGTGGCATACATACTTCTAACATGGCCAGTGTCAAGCCACCAACATGATGTCATAGGATAGAGAGCTGGGAAGAGATGTGCAGAATTGGCCGGTATCACCTGGCTCCAGCATCCGCTTGGACCTTTGAGTTCTTAAAACAGAAGTAGTCAGGAGCAGGTTAGCAGCTCTAGAACATGAGGGACCAGTTAAGCCAAAGCCCTTGTCCATATGGCCAGCAAGGGGGAAGGCAGGATTCCTAGACACCTGCTTATCCTAGAGGGGACTATTAGGCCTTGGGGGTCCCCACTACTTACAGCAACCTTCTGTTGCTACAATTCCCACCTGGACCTTCCGGATCACAGGTGTAGGTTCTGAGAGTGAAGGCAAGGAAAGGAACATGGGGGTAGAGGCAAAAATTGTTTTCAAATTTAAGTGAATTATCTTGATTTATTTACTCTAAGTATCCTTTCAAACTGTTGAGAGTGAATCTTGAAGTGAGGCCACTAGTTATAACACGGTTAAAGTACCAATAATACCTTTTCTCTTAATGAGCAGCAGCTCTTACCTTTTTCCATAAAGTAAAACTCTAGAGACGTGAAGATATATTCTTCTACAGAGGATTTTAATGAACAAGGATCACTCAAAATTCCAATTACCAGATTCCTGCTAACAGTACCCAGTCACATCGGTTTTTCATACAAAATAAGGAAAATTTTCTCTTTTTCTCATCCACCATCTCATGTTCTTCCTCAGTATTTGCTTAAGAATTTGTTTTATAGAACAGTCTGAAGGTTGGCGTATTTCCCAGACAAAATACAACAAACCAACCCAAATTCCCCATTAAGAGCAGATTTGAATATGAATACTAGGCAGACTAGTTGTGCTTTTTCTACCCAAATTCCACAGCCCTTCTAAACTAGAGGGTGGGGAGACATCCAGCAGGTATTGGAGGAATGACCTTCGCCTAGAAAAGTTCCTCCAATGTGGGGGAGGGGGAGCAAGGGGAGACTCTTAGGCTAACAGGTCAGTATGTCTTAGGAATGAAGATATTTTCCTAATCGATGGAAATGGGACAGCTAATAAAGACCCGAGTCCTGTGGTTCTGTGACTTTGATTTACAGTTCTTCTGCAAGGGATCTTTCCTTTTTAGTTTTTTCAGAAGACCTAACACAAGCTCTTCAAAATCCCTCCTGAAAGAGTTACTGTATACAATATTTTGGAGACAGCTTAAGACAGTAAGTTTTTATGCTTTTTTATAAAATTGAAGAAGAGTGAGAGCAGGAGAAAGAGAAGAAAGCAAAAAGCAAAAATGGAACTGACAAGCTGCACATCTTTCCTCAAAATTAATCTCAAGCTCTGTACTTTTAAGATTTTACTTATTTGAGAGAGAATGAGCACGCACACACGTGCAAGGGGCGGAGTGGGGGGTGGGGCAGAGGGAGAGGAAGAGAGACAAACTGATTCTCTGCTGAGCAGGGAGCCCGACACAGGGCTCCATCCCAGGACCCTGAGATCATGACCTGAGCCAAAGTCAGACGCTTAATCGACTAAGTCACCCAGGCGTCTCTCAAGCTATGTTTTCGTTTGTTTTGTTTTTTTTTAATGGAAACACCACAAAAGCAATGGTGTGGTCTTACTGCATCATATCAGGAGGTGAATTATTGGTCTTATTATCAGTGATAAATTTGATCACTTGGTTAAAGCTGTGTCTGGCAAGTTTACCCACTATAAAGTTACTATTCTTCCCTTTGAAATTAACAAGTCATTTGTGGAGCAGAATTTTGAGACTAAGTATTTACAGGATATTTATCCCATTTTTCATCAAACTTTCACCAACCAGCTTTAGTTCTATTGATGTTTTCCTAACTCCATCTTTTTTTTCTGTATTTATTTTTTGGTATTTTACTATAACAAACAGCTTTTCTTTCTTTCCATTTCTATCAGTATAGACACAGAGTTTTGCTTTATTTAATAGCTTATAACCCATTACTGTTTATTTTGATGCTCAGATTGTCAGATTTGGTCAGTGGGAACCTCAAGCTGGCTCCTATGTAATTTGATAACTCCCCATCATTCTTTGTTTCCTTACTTTCTGGAAGAACAAGATATGCTGGGCTTGTCTTGTACTTTCCCTATCCCAGGACTGGAATCAGTTTTTTCTTGAAGGAGATCTGTTTTATGGTCTATTTTTATTTTTTTTAAAGATTTTATTTATGTATTTGACAGAGAGACAGCGAGAGAGGGAACACAAGCAGGGGGAGTGGGAGAGGGAGAAGCAGGCTTCCCGCTGAGCAGGGAGCCCGACGCGGGGCTTGATCCCAGGACTCTGGGATCATGACCTGAGCCAAAGGCAGACGCTTAACGACTGGGCCACCCAGGCGCCCCTACGGTATATTTTTAAAAACAGGCCTTGGATAGTGGTTGTAAGTAATCTGTATTTATCATTTCTGGTTGGTAAATCAGTCTCTCTTGAATTTGATTAGCATGAAGGGATTCTCTAGCACATAGTCACCCTCAATGAATCTGTCCAACTGAGGGGCAGACTCTGAATTGTTAGTGTATTCAGCTGGGGATGTCTAACCTGAAGCAGCTTCAGATTTCTAGTGTAATGGATGGCTCTTCCATCTAAGGTGCTACCATAGAGGAGGGGTTCAGTGAGGAGTGCATGTGAGAACTATCCCAGAAGGCTGCAATCCAAAAGACTAAAAGCTCATCCCAAGCTTCAGAAATTTTAAGGTGACTTACCTATCAGGACCACTTCTCCTGGAAACCTCATGTTCTGAAGAGTAAGGAAAGGTCCTCCTACCTAACCATTTGAGAACTCTCAATTTTCAAGAACACAGACCATTAGAAAACTCCATTGATGAGGCAAATCTGGCACACTAACTTCACTCAGTGTTTTTTTGTGGAATGTTGAAACAGTCCAGTGAATTCCTAGGACTACTCTTAGAAATGGATGAAAGGTCTTGATGCTTCTGGAATAATAAATCCATGTTTTCTAATTCCTTTCCAATTGCTACTCTGTAGGGCTTTAAATGGGGCTGTAGCTTTTTTCAATTTACATATATTTGAGAAACATTTCTCAAAATATTTTATTGATTTATTTATGTTGAGAGAGAGTGCACGTGTGAGTGAGGGGAGGAGGAAGGGGAGAGAATCTTAAGCAGGCTCCACGCCCAGCACAGAGCCTGACATGGGGCTCAATCTCATGACCCTGAAATCATGACCTGAGCCAAAATCAAGAGTCAGAAACTGAACCAACTAAGCCACGCAGGCGTCCCTTAAAATATTTTACCTTAAAGCATTGAGGAAAAGGATAGAAACAAAAACTTGTAAAAATACATCTTTTAATAAACACCAAGAAGTACAGTGCAGTTTCACTGAGGTTTTACATTGCAGCTTACAACAAACATTATTTATTATAGTGTATAATTACAAGTAAACTCAGAGTTGTTGGTTTTTTTTTCTCTCATGGCCGGATAAACCAAATCTGGTGCATGATACCACATTTAAGGTTGTTTCAAGCTGGCTTCTGTAAAAGGCCCTTAACATTAATAACTTGCAGCAGCAACAACAAAAAAATCCATATCCCCCATCACAATGATAGCCTGATGAGTGCTCAAAAATTACCAAAAAGAACTGTAAATACTTGCTTTCCTTTGATGGCCTTGAAGAATAGCTATTGAGAGCAAATCTGAAATATTAAAGACAATAAGGGAAACACCTGTTTCTTTTGCCTAATGTAGCCATAGTAAATACTAATTTGAGGCTACAGATTATGAAAAGACTGCAAAAGATGCTTACAGAAAAAGCTTCACATTTATATTTATGATCCCATGGACTAAAACCTGTCTAGTGTATTAATGGTTGAGTCAACTTTTCTTTAACATTGCTGATACTAACAGGAAGATGGTAAATTCTTGACACTTCTCGACAAATTTAGTGAGAGGATTGATATTAATTAGCAAAGGAGGAAATTAATATTAATCTTAAAATTCTACCTGCCATTGTCTTGGAGTGATCAAGATTCAGCTACGTCTGAGAGGAGTAAAAAGGAATGGAACTAAAGGTAATCAGAAGCTGTAAATAAAAAAAACATAGTTTTGCATGCTTTATACTGATGGCATTTAAAAATTCTACAACTGGATTTATTTGCTATATACATAAACCAGTGCTGTAATTGGGAAAAAAAGGAAAGTAGCACTTACATCCACAGAAGTACCAGAATCATATCCAGATTTGCAAAGAGGCATAATAATCTGTTTACCATGCAACTAGTGGTTTGTGTAATTTGTAATGATTAATAAAACAATATCCTTATGAACATGATACTAATGTATAGCAAATTATACCAAGTAAGTCAGCAGCTCAAATTCATAAGGGTAAAGACCCAATATCCCTGAATTTCTAAGCATTCATCTCAGTGTTAATGCAGATGCATCTAAATGTTACCCTGTTAGAAGAGATTTTAAATACTCCTCCCTCTTCATTACATCATCATACTTTCAGAGGTAAAAAGGGAACAATTTAATTTCTTTACCACTTTTGCCCATTCTCATGAATCTGATATAGTGTTATTACAGTGTCTAGGCTAAGGTAAGTGCACTAAAGGATCCAATGAATTGAATTTCTAAGTTCCAGAACCTTGCTGGTATTGTACAATAAGCCTGTCTGTCAGAAAGCCACGTCTCTGGTTGAAATATATTCCTGGATCAATGATTGAGAAATTAAGACCAGCTGCCAATAAAGTCAGACTGTTTCCTATTATTAGATAACAGTTGATCTTCTTTGTTATGTTAAAATTTCTTAATGGATGGGACCGGATCTCATACTTTTTTCATGTATCCTCTATAGCACCCACTAAAGTGTGGAGCAAAGATATATGCTCAAGGAAATAATCAGTGACGAGGGCAGGAATTGAATCAAGAGTGAATGTGGTCATGGTGAAGCCATAACTTACTTCACTCATCATTCAAAAGGCAGTCCACCAGAATGAATCTCTGATATTGTCAATGAAGAATAGATGCTTGTCCCCTACCACTGTCTGAAAGAGAACACACCACTTGGGCCTCTTTCTTTCTCTTTGTCACTAAGAGATTATACAGGACCATGAGTACTACTTGGTGGATGCTATCTGAAAAAAAAAAAAAAAAAAAGGCTTTTCTGCCTCAGAGGGGAAGCACCGATCCATCACATGGCCCATTCTAACTCTAATAATACAATTTATAGAATTATTAACTTTTAAAATTATGTTAAATGTTATCCATACTAGTAGTTATTTAAAAATGTTAGGCTTATTCTCTCTGACATCACTTAAAATGCATTTTATTTTTAAACACTGCCATGAGGTAGAAGATAAGGAACGCACAAAAGAAAAGTATCTTCAAAATATGAAACTCTGTTTTATATAATTAGCCCCGAGAGAGAAGTAAGAAAAGTTACAGCCTTAAGCTGGTAGACTTACTACTGTTAAAATATTACTCTTACCTGAAAGAATTTCTTATATTTGAAATTGCCCTTTTTTTCCCAGTATAAGGTATTATAGAAAGAGGACAATACACATTCTAAAATACTCATAAAGATCATGTACAATAGCCTCTCTTAGTCTTCATTTTTTACTTTACCATGTTGCTCTAAATTACCTCAACTGAGACACAGGCCCTTTCCACTTGAATAACTGATCAGATATCAATATAGAGGTTAAAAATCTTTCTAGCATAAGAAGCAAGATAAAAGGAATGATTCACATTTAAAATAATGTACTTTTCATAAAACTAGCAGCACTTCATTCTACCAGGACATACAAATTTGGCTTCATTGACTCATCAGAAACAAAGGAAAATGTATATGGGTCCTTGTACAAGGGAAATGTGAGGCTACAAGTTTTCTCTGAGAACTAACGATTTCCCCATTAGGTGGTGTGTGAAACTACTGGAATGTCAATTTCGATGGCAGAGAGGCGGGAGCGTGCTGAATAGGGCTGTGAGTAGGTATGCATACCGGGAGGATGGGAGTACAGTGGCTGCCAGAAAGGAGAAGGCAAAGATTTGCATGCACAGTACCAAATAAACAGTAGAAGGGAAGTCATATACAGGCCCCCAGCACTGGCCATAGTGACATACACTGCGTAGTCAAACGTAAAGACTGGCTCGAACTTCTTGTTCAGATGAATGTTATAAAAGATGACCCAGATGGAAGGCGAGAGGCTCACAGTACCTGCCAGGAAAAACAGCAGCCCGGCCACCAGGTGGCAGCCTGCACTATTGACCAGACACTTGGCCAGTTTGATGTTGGGCACTGAGGACCTGAAGGCCGTGTTGCACATTCCGATCAGGCAGAGCAGCAGGGCACCCATCGCAATCAGGATGCTGAGAGGCAGGGCAAACTGGAGGACCCGCAAGTCCAGCTGGTCAACTGATGAGTACCAAGTAGTGTCATACATCAGGCAGTCACTGCTCCCATCATATCGGGCACACTTCACCCACAGGCCAGTGTACACAGTCAGATTCTTCTCGTTTCTGTTGAATGTGATCAGTCGTAATTTCCTCCAGTTGGGAAGCAGAGTCCCCGCAAAGAGGCCTGCTACCGAGGCGATTCCACACAGGAAGGAGAGGACTGTGGCTGCATGGACATCCCGACAGCCCATGGCAGGTAGGCTTGTGCAGTACCGTCAGTCAGACTGGGGGGTGACACACAAGAGGACAAATCATGAGGGGACAATAGGAGAACAGAGCAGGAAGGGTGGTGCTGATTGGCAGCACAACTAATGATGTCAAGGCAAAGAGGGAAAGTCTGTCCCTGGTTCCTACGTACAATATGAAGGCACGTAAACACATGTGCCTGTGACTCCGGAGCGCAGGCGCACTCACCTATGCTTGGTTACCAGTGGCCAGGTCAGGTAGCGACCAAAGAACTAAAGTCTTTGGACATGAGTATTTTACTTCCCAGCAAAGCAGAGGAACAATAAAAATAATTTCAAATCCTTTTAACATCACATATGAAAGTCTCTCAATTGTCAATTATCACTCACTCAACACACATCTACCACATACTTTCATGTGTCAGCCACTCAAATATATAGAGTCAGAGCACTCATCAACCGTCAACAACAAAACAACACAAATTCAGCCCCCAGTGCTCATGCAAATGGAAAATGAAACTAGCATGCAGCTGAGGTGAAGGTGGCTCAAAGAAGACAAAGATGTAGAGAAAGAAGGATCACAGGACAGCAGACTGGCTGAGGGAGGACCCTGAGCCAGACTGCTAGGGTTCTAATCCCCACTTCCTCACTTACTAGCCAAGTGACCTTGGGTCACTGCTACAGAACTCTGTGATTCCTTTTCCTCATCTGTAAAATGGGAAAAATAACAGTACCTACCTCACAGAGTTAAGTACTGAGTGAGTTAATATACTGTCCACTGCTTAAAACATGTCTGGCACATTTTAAGAGCAATTCAAGTGTTCACTACTTCTTAGCACTCAGTGACCAGCTCAGTGCCTGGCATACTGGAGCAATTTAAAGAACATTTGCTGAATAAATGTTAAATAAGAAAAAGCAACATCTCATTCCTATATGCTAGGCATACTGGATAATTACACAATGTAAATGAACTCCTCTCCATTGAATTAGTCAAATGAAGAGAACAAAGATCCCTGAAATGATTCTACTCAACTACTTCCTGGCTGATTCAAGATGACCTGCATGCATTTCAGGTTATTACACGTGTGGTTATTGGTTATTATACCATTACTGCTCACATAAAATGAAAGCACAAATTCTTGAGGTAATGACAACCTATCTCTATTAACGCTACTGTAAGAAAAAGAAAAAAAGTAGCCAGGCCTTTCTCTCATTCCAAATTAAAAGACTGTGTTCTTTTTATAAAGACCAATATCTTATTCAGCTTTAGTTTAAGAGTTTGAAACTCACTCTCCAAACACCACCCAAGTATATTTTCTCTGCCTTCTAACACACCCCCAATGAGGCAACACAACAGACTACTTAAAGTAGCACATTTACTTCTTTTAGTCAGATCATGATGAAGGGCCAAGGTTGAGAATATTACTGTTTCTGAATACAGTATGTGTTCAGAGTACCCATAATCCTCTGCAGAGTCAACTATTATCTGCTGCGATGGTGGAATAGCATTTCCAGGAGTTCAGGGGCCAGAAAGAAGATCAAAATGCTAAACTGGGTTAGGACTTGATCAAATGTATCTGAACGGGAAGGCACTTTTTTTTTTCTTTAGAAAACAACATATTTGCATATTTAAACTGATCATGTAAACTAGGAAAAATTTTACTAGCAGAAAATATATAGTTACACATACATACCTATATAACTGTACAATATAAAATCAGTTTAAGCACAAGTGAACCATTTTTCAAAGTCCTCAAGTTAAGCATAATTAGTTCTAAGTTTCTCCATTAATATTAGTTTACTACTTGTTTATCATGTTGTCTTCTGTCAATATTATTAGAAGTAGCAATTACTTACAAATATACTGTTTACAGATGAAAACAAAAGAATTATAGTCCTAATTTATATTTTTCATGCAAAATGGGGAGAAAAACTGTTTTAATTTTAGCAATCAAATTACCTTGTTCCAGCAGTGGAAACTGTGGTGCAGGTTTGAGGATGTTTACACTGGAAAAGGCTACTAATGATGTCAAGCTCCAAAATGCAGCTTCTTACTGGCTTTTGCTCATTTACCTGTCTGTCTCCCCCATACACTGTTGGTGACTTGCACAGTGCCCAACACATAAGTCATTCTAGGAATATTTGAATAAATGAGTACTGGGCACTCTTCCAAGACCACAGTAACTCACAAAGGTAGGCTATTGATAATGTAGAATCGGACAAGGAAGTAGCTATTACCAAGTAATAATTCATTCAATAATCAATTCATTCAATTCCGGTATTTACTGAGTATCCAGCACATGCAAAATACTCTTAGGCCCTGGAGGGACACTGAAGCCACTAAGATCTGAACCTTGCTCCAATGTGTTAACAATCAGACTGAGGGAAAGAATATGCTGTTCTATGAGAAGTCAATATGCTGAGAGTGAATCAATTGTATGATCACTACATGTCAAAGGATAATTGTTAGATATTAAACAAAGTGAACCAATAAGGTACCTGTTCATAAAAAATGTATCACCCAGGGTTAGAGAAAGACTGAGCAATGAAAGAGAATGAGGATTTGATTAAAGTTGTAAAGACATAAGAAAAAAGTTCCCTCTGTTTCTCTCAAAGCTTCAGAACTCCTTCAGGCGATGTACTCAGAGTCCTAACCCAATCATAAATTTCTCTTGCTTTCACAGATAGGGGTAAAAAACTTGGGAGTATCAGAAATACTGAGATTTCTCCAATCAAGATGCCTTGTACCACTAATTCCTACAATGAAAAGGGAATGAGAAACAAGATCAGAATGAATGACTTATTATAAATAAATTTCTGTAGTTCTTAGATTATAGACTATCAAATGACACTAATGAGCAGAGGTGGGTCAATATTTACTTCAGGATCAAGTGTGTTCGAACTTATCCTGCATCAAATCAACACAGATGTTGTTTCAGTCCCCTGAACTTGCTTTTACTGAAGCATTCTTAGCTCAGAGCCCAGAGATTGACTAAAAGTCCTAATTTACACAGTCAACAAGGATACCATGGCATTTTTTCAGAAGGGAAATACTATTAACCTCACTTCTTTAGCTAATTTCAACCTCAGAGCTGGAATTAATGTCCCTGTTCTTTTTAACCTTCTTTGGCTACTTTCCTTTTTATGATCTTTTCTTAACTCCACATCTGCATGATTTGATAAGTCATATATCTCACTAGAGGGATGAAGTATCATTTTACAGGGATAGTTGGGAGATGGAGTATGTTTAGTGATTTAAAACTGAAAATAATGCTCTCAGGTTAGGATTTGTTCATATTAAGAGGGTGAAAGATCTCAACTCTTGTCCTATGCCTATTAATTTTTAATCCAAAATAACTTGTTTCAAATGCAAATCTGATTATTTCACTATATTTCTTTTTTTCTTTTTTAAGATTTTATTTTTAAGTAATTTCTACACCCCATGTGGGGCTCAAACCCATAATCCCAAGATCAAGAGTTGCATGCTCCACCAGCTGAGCCAGCCAGGTACCCCTCACTACATTTCTCACATTCAATGCCTTCTTATTTCCCTCAGAATAGTTTCTAAATTTTAAAACTATATAGTTTCCAAAGTTTCAAATCCCACCATCAGTTCCTGTCAAATTCTCAATTTCCTTATGTGTCACTCTCCCATCTAACATGTTACAGACTATGTAGTCATATTACTTTTCAGTCTTCAAATCTGGCACTTTTAAATTTGGCTAAGGGCTTTACTGCATGCTATTCTTCCTTCTAGAACTTTCTTAATTCCATTCTATTCTTTGCTTACCTAAAAGGTATTCATTTTTCTAATTTTCAGGGAGGCTGGCCCTAACCCTGTTCTCTCTTCCCTGATCCGCTACCTTCCCCAGCCCTGGTTAAATGCTCTGAAATCACCTTTGCACCTTCTCTTTGGGAGCAGTGATTATGCTTATAATTCCTTGTTCAGTATTTATCTTTCTCACTAGACTGAATTCCAGGACAGAAAGCCTTCTCTTTTATTCACTGTGTCCCACACTGGTACACAGAAAGCACTCGATTATTTGTTAAATAACTGAACAATCAAAGAAACAAATGTAAGCTCCATATGGGTATGGTCAGGAGCCAAAGTTACAAATCTGCTCTGTTATCATTCATTCATATCTTACGTTTTGAAGCTTCCAAGTTGCTTCTAAACCATGCCCTCCACTTTCCACTTTATTGGCCAGTCTCTCCCATTTTTTAAAACAAAGGTCATTTTCTTCCCCTAAAAAATTCCCCTAAAACTGAGGCAATTCCCAAGTATTTACATAAAGACTATTCTTCCAAAAATACATAACTAAGTTTGGCAACACTGGTTAACTTTCACAGTGGCCCAAGAGTCGATCAATTATACCTGTGTTGATCCTCATGTTTTCAACTCAATAGGTTTGTTACTACTGGATATACCCCCTTTTTATTAACAGGTTAATATATCAAATTAATGCCTGTTTATCAAAGCAAAACTATTTTTTAAAGTAGAACAATTTACTATATTTGTATTTATATTTTCTTTTTAATACAGCAATGGAGAAAAAAGATAAACATCTTTTTGCCATACGAAAATCCCTTATTAGGGACTGTAGAAAATATGCCAGGTTAAGAACACACTAATCTAACAAATCTAAGTAGTTTTCTTGAACACTAACTAGGCAACAGCCTTAAGCTGGGTCAAATATATAGATGTCTGGGCTTGTTGTTTCCATGTGAGAGGCAACTTGGTACTACAGTCCTGGCAACCAAAGACCCAAATGCCAGTCACAACCTACCACTTACAAACTGGGCAAGTCATCCATGTCCTCTGAACCTCAAATATCTCATCAGTAAAATGTCCCCCAAGGTATCTGTAAGATTATGAATAGTAAAGCCCTTTGTAAAACAGAGTATGGTCAGAAATTTAAGTTTATAATGATTATTAGTAGACTTATTTATTTCCTTTAGCTAGGAATGTGCTTTTCTTCTGGATCTCAGCAATCATTCACAGATGATTACAGCCATGTAACAATAATAACAGGGCATTCTCTATGGAGCCGTTACTGACCAAATCAAATAAGGACTCTGTTTCAAAATAAGCACTTCACATTTGTCATCTATCTGTTCCGTGGTGACTTTCAGAAGTAGATGGATAGAATTCGGTACACAGTTAAAGTTATCAAATATATCATTTTCAACTAAAAGTATTTTCAAAAAGATAGCTGTTTTGTGGTTTTGAATAGCATTCAAAGAAGTCCGAGGCAGAAATAATGGCTAACAGCTTTAAGAATTCACAGACCCATCACTATGTAATTTCTTCTGGGACAATCCCAGGAATAGCTATAGAAGACATGTGTAACAGCAGCTACATTACTTCTTGATGGTAAGACTAGCAGTCCCTTCCACCTGTAACTGGAGTTTTCTTAGAAACTACAGGTTATCAATCATTGCTCTCACAAGGGAACTCTATCTTATAACTTCATTCTGTTGAACAAGAGAAAAACATGCCATCTGATAGAGGGTGGAAAAAGGAAAAGGAGTAAAATCAAAGGATGTACTTACTCTTTGAGGTACTTGACAGGTGTAAAACAACTTTAATCAACTTAGAGAAGAAATATATGCACATCTGAATAGACAGTAGAGATCTGGGCCTAAAGAAATAGGAAAAATGCCTAAATTAATATAATACTTCTTTAAATTATTTATGTGTGTGTGTTATACACACACGTGAGCACACGCATGCACACACACACACACAATGGATTTTTTAGATCCTACTCACAACTAAGAATAAGGAGGCCCAAGGAAACACTGCAGTTAGTTGTCTTCGAAGTAAAAGAAACTGTTTCTTTTGTACCTTTTAAAAGGACACTGATAACAAAACTAGGCTAAGTTGATCTGCATTGTGCATCCTAAAATTTGCAACTAGCATTCTTTTTTGAGTTTACAGTTCCACCAATGGGTCAACCTGCCATCTAAATATGTTTATATAGATCTATTTTAGGCATCAACAACTTCCTTTTCAAATACTATTTATCACAATAGGCAGGATGCAAACTTATAAACGCCAGAGAACTTCCTGGATTAAGGCATTTATCACTAGCCTCACTATTATTATGTAGAATGTTGTCCTCAAGAGTCTGCACAGAAGAGATTTCAAATTATGATTTTTCTTTTCTAAATATGTTTCTTAAGTTGGTACCAAGCATAACTGCTCACTCCAAATTAAGGGAAAATCGTTTTACAATTAAAAACACACACTAGGATCCCTGAGCTTTCATTTTAAGTGGGGCCACCAAGTCTGGCCTTCCTCTAACGCGGTAACCGGCCCCTTCCAAGGCCTATTACACACAACCTGGGCTTCAGAGTAAAGCAAACCAAGCTTCCAGAGCAAACCGCACTCCCCCTCCTCTCCTCTCTTTCCCTTCGAGCCCTGTCCTTAGGAGCACCAGAGCTAACAGAAAGAAAGAAAAAAAGGGGGGGGGCGCTCTCCTGGTTAGAGCCAATAGAAAGAGACCGCAACAGTGACTGTTACCGCTCTCAGAACAAACCCATCCCTGCAACACGGAGTGGGTTTGAACCGCGAGCAGGTCATCATTACACAACCAGCTGGTGATTCAAAAATAGCAACTTGCAGCTCCACACCGCACACCCCGCTGGCCAACAAGCCCTCGGCTGCTCCGGCAAGACACCTCGACATTTTCACACTCCTGTGTACACAATTTTTGTTTTTTTTAAAGCCTGATCAAATACCTCCTCATTCAATTTTCACGTCCACAGATGTGGGGTCAACAGTTTTCAGTGTCCCTGGTTCCCTTCGATTTAGCTATTTTACACGAAATCCTCAACGACTTATGCAAAAGACACAAAAATCAGATTCCTGACCACACCTACCTGTTTCTCACATCCAAGACATTTCACTCGCCCACACTGAGGAGCTTCTTAGAGCGTCTCCCTCGCAGCGTCCCAGGAAGTGCGTTCCCAGCGAGCCGCACCAGAGGCTTCTGGGAGCGTAGTCAGGTTTTCCCGAGGCCCTAATCAGGAACGCCCTGGATGACTGGGAGACTACAATTCCCAGAATCCACCGGGCCGCCGGCCGCAGGCAACATCCTGCGATCACTTCCTGCCTTTCTTTCTCCCTGGCCTCCAGACCCCTTACTCCTCTTGCACCTTCACTTCCTTCCAGATTTGGGTTACAGGTGTTTAAAAAAAGAAAAAGTTAAACGAAACAAAACTAAAAATAGTTTCGAGTTGGGTACCCAACTAAATATTTCCTACTAAATGTGATCTCCCCGTAAGGTTTGTTAGCAAAAATCCTTAAATACTTTTTTCCACAAAGCATTTACCAAGGCACAAAGTAGAAAAGCTCAAACTCTAGAACTGATTTTGAAAATGTTCAAAGATACAGATAACTTGAATAGTACGATGAACCTGTATGCTTACTCTCTAGATTCAACAACTATCAACATTTGCCACATTTATCTTATCTCCACTTATGTGTGTGTGTGATCACTAAGGTGATAGGCATCATGAACACTTCAGCATCCTTTGTTTTAAATATTTAAAAATATATTTAACTGCCTGGTTTAATATGGGGTTTTGCTCCATATTAGTTGGGTGGCCTTGGGCAAGTTACCTCTCTCTGAGGTTATCTGTAATGAGGATAATAAGATCACCTGCATCATAGAATTGTCTTGAAAATTAAGGGACTAAATACAGGCAAAGCACTGAGCACATTAACTAGCTATTAGATATTTAAAGTAACTTTACTCTTCTGCACAGTTCCAACTATCCTGTCCCTTTCTTTGTGGCTTCTAAATATGAAGTATTGCATTAGTGAATATCTGAATTAAAATAAAGGTTTCAGAAGTCTTGTATAGGACTGATGTATTTTATATGTATAAAGGATGTTGAGGGACGCCTGGGTGGCTCCGTCGTTAAGCTTCTGCCTTCAGCTCAGGTCATGGTCCCAGAGTCCCGGGATCGAGCCCCGCATCGGGCTCCCTGCTCAGCGGGAAGCCTGCTTCTCCCTCTCCCACTCCCCCTGCTTGTGTTCCCTCTCTCGCTGTGTCTCTCTCTGTCAAATAAATAAATAAATGTTTAAAAAAAAAAAGGATGTTGAAATGTCATGTTGCGTACTAATTTCAAATGATCACACACCAAATGGAGATAAAGTAAATGTGGCAAATGTTGATAATTGTTGAATCTAGAGAAAGGAAGTGTATGGGTGTTCATTTACTGTTCCAACTCTGTATCTTTAAAATTTTTCAAGATAAAAAGTTTGAAGAAAAGCATCACAGTTTTATTTATTTTTTCATTATTATGTTATGTTAATCATCATACATTACATCATTAGTTTTCGATGTAGTGTTCCACAATTCATTATTTGCCTATAACACCCAGTGCTCCATGCAGAACGTCCCTCTTTAATACCCATCACCAGGCTAATACATCCTCCCACCCCCTCCCCTCTAGAACCCTCAGTTTGTTTTTCAGAGTCCATCATCTCTCATGGTTTGTCTCCCCCTCCGATTTCCCCACCTTCATTCTTCCCCTCCTGCTATTTTCTTTTCTCTCTTTTTTTAAACATATAATGTATTATTTGTTTCAGAGGTACAAATCTGTGATTCAACAGTCTTGCACAGTTCACAGTGCTCACCATAGCACATACCCTCCCCAGTGTCTATCACCCAGGCACCCCATCCCTCCCACCCCCCACCACTCCAGCAACCCTCAGTTTGTTTCCTGAGATTAAGAATTCCTCATATCAGTGAGGTCATATGATACATGTCTTTCTCTGATTGACTTATTTTGCTCAGCATAACACCCTCCAGTTCCATCCACGTCGTTGCAAATGGCAAGATCTCATTCCTTTTGATGGCTGCATAATATTCCCTTGTATATCTATACCACATCTTCTTCATCCATTCATCTATCGATGGACATCTTGACTCTTTCCACAGTTTGGCTATTGTGGACATTGCTGGTATAAACATCGGGGTGCACATACCCCTCCGAATCCCCACATTTGTATCTTTGGGGTAAATACCCAGTAGAAAGAATCACAGTTTTAAACAAAAGTCAAGGGTTGCATCCATCCCTATCCCACTCTGCCTGTATTTAACTCGGACAAGTTAAGTAACCCCCTTCTGGCTCAGGATCTTACCTTTAGTAATAATGTTGTCTACATCAAAAAAATAATGGTAAGGATTAAATGAGTTACTATACATAGAGAAGATTACAACAGTGTCTGACATTGTTTTTACCATTCTTCATTTTATGTTTCTCGAGGAACTTTTTGTTAGTGATAGAAAAGGGGAAAAGGGCACTCACTATCTGTCCATTATAACCACCTTCTAATCTTCCATACTGCTTCAAAGGATGGATAGAGTTATCTAAGGCCTGAAGCAATCCAATCCCAAAGTTAGACCTAGAAATGTAATTACGAGAAAGAAAGATTGGGGGTAAAAGAATCTCTGAACACAGGCCAGCCAGATGGATGATAGCAATATGACACAGCATATCTCACTTCTTTGCTCTGAATTTCAGTTCTTTCATCTATAAAACTGAATTGAATCCAATAACTCTATACAAAATCATTTTAAAATTCAGTTCCCAATCACTGATGAATTAACTTGGTTAGCAGATTTTAGCTGGGATGAATATGTAGTTGATTATAATGATAAAAAAAAATAACAGCACCAAAAGGAAGTGATGGACTATTTCTAAACTTGTTGATAAGTTCACATCTATGGTTACCCTGGCCTTTAGTATAGCAAAGATAGAACAAAATACTTATGTACCCTAGTGGAACTAGATTATTAGAATATCATTCTCAGAAGTACTTTAGGTAAGACTTTATTTTTTTCTATTTTTTAAGATTTTATTTATTTACTTGAGAGAGAGATAGCGAGAGAGAGAGAGAGAGCACAAGTGGGGAGGAGAGGGAGAAGCAGGCTCCCTGCTGAGCAGGGAGCCCAATGTGGGGCTAGATCCCAGGACCCTGAGATCATGACCTGAGCTGAAGGCAGACGCTTAACTGACTGAGCCACCCAGATGCCCCTAGGTAAGACTTTAGATCAGCAATTAACAATCCTGGCTTTCCATTTTTTCTCAACAGAGACTCATTAAGGAGTAAGTCAAATCTTAAAACAAATTCACTGCAATATACCACCACCAAAATTCTACAAATATCTACTTACTGTATTAGTTTCCTATTATCACTGTACCAAATTACTATAAAATTCAGTGGCTTAAAATAACCACAAATTTATTATTTTACAGTTCTGGAGGTCAGAAACCTGACACGGATCTTACTGGGCTAAACTAAAGGTGCTGGTAGGGCTGTATTTCTTCTGGAGGCTTCAGGGGAGACTTTCCTTGTCTCCTCCAGCCTCCTGAGGACCCTGCACTCCTTGGCTTATGATCCCCTTCCATTTTCAAACTCGGCAAAAGCTGCTTGAATCTTTCAACATCTAAATCACATCACTGACATTCTTCTGCATCTCTCATCTTTCAAGAGCACTGTGATAACATTTGACCCACTCGGACTACCCCGGATAATTTCTCTATTTTATGGTCATCTGATGAGCAACTGTAATACTCCCTTTCCATGTAACTGAATGTATTCCCAAATTCTCAAGATGAGGATGAAGACATCTTTACAGGACCAATATTCTGCCTGCCACAGTCACTAATCACTTCTTTCTATTTGAATCCAAGGGTCTCTTTCTGGTCCTCATTCTTGTCTACCTCCTGCACAATTCTGATTGCCTCTTTTTTTCCTAAATTCTGCTTTCTCATTTTTGGAAACACCAACATTTCTACTTTTCTTCTGGTTTACCTGATTTGTTCCCTGTCTACCTGTTGCTTTCACTTTCTCCTCCTCACTCCCCAATTATCAAAAGGCTCTGTCCTGGGGCCCTATCAATAAAAACTTCTTCAGAGGGCAATCTGTTTTTTATCTCCCCAAATCCACATCTGGCTAAGACTTTCCATAACTTCAGTCCTATTTCTAATTACCAGCTCATATGATTAACTTATTACTTTAATTTCAACATTCTCCAAATAAAAAATAATGATTGTTTTGCTTATGTCTTCCATCATTCCTTATTTTGTCAGTGGTTTCCCCTTTCTTATCTTCTTTTGTTTTTGACATCTTCTTCATACCTTTTACTCAAATTAGGAACCACATCCTGATTCTTTCTTTGAAATATCCATTTGTCCCTTATTCAATACAAAGAATTGTCACAATCCTATTTAAAGCCCTCATCTTGGGGTGACTGAATGGCTCAGTCAGTTTATCGTTGGTCTCTTGGTTTTGGCTCAGGTCATGATCTCAGGGTCATAGGATCCAGCCCTGTGTGGAGCCTCAGCTCACAGTCTGCTTGAGCTTTCTTTCCCTCTTCCCCTCTTCCTCTCCCTCCCTCTCTGCGCACCCCCACTCACACGCACGCTCATGCTCTCTCAAATAAATAAAATCTTTTAAAAAAATTAAGCCCCTACCTCTTCACATTAAGATATGTGCAATAATTTCCTTACATATATATTAATGTAGATTTAAAAATAATAGAGAACATTCAATATTTATTACATTCCAAGGATATTTTCTATGAATTATCTAATTTAATCACAATGACTCTATATTAATGACAAAAAAATTGAGATGCAAAGAGATTAAATAATGTGCTCAAAATCAAGAAATAGTAAGTGGAGGATATTCCCAAAAGGTTGTTGTCACCAGTCAGAACTCATCAGATTCAGGGCAGTCTCTTTATTTTGGATTTCTGCAGCTAAAACTTTACTTATTCTGAACACTTACTGAAGCTATTCCTGAAGTTGTAATGTCTTTCTACTACCCTTTCTGCCCACTCAAATCCTACCTACCTTTCCCCTTGTCTGAATAATTTTATCTTCTGTAAATTACATGTATCAACTCCAAATGGAAACTAACTGGCACGTAATATTCCTTTTTTATGTGTTAGTCATATCTCACCATAGTATTTTCAAGTCCCTGACTGAAACTCAACAAATTCAGATTAATTTAAAAAACTCTGGGGGCACCTGGTTGGCTCAGTCAGTGTCCGACTCTTGGATGTTGGCTCAGGTCACGATCTCGGGATCTTAAGACTGAGCCTCACAACGGGCTCCATACTCAGCAGGGAGTCTGCCTAGGATTCTCTCTCTCCCTCTCCCTCTGGCCATCCCCCCCACCATGCATGCTCTTTCTCTGAAATAAATACCTCTTAAAAAAAAAAACCCTCCCCATATACTATTTTTTAGAGGAGACTACCAAATAAAAAATAATAAATATCTATTAATTGGGATGTTGGGAAGTATAGAGAGAAAAGTAGGGGAATGTTATGGGTAGAAGGTGTTCCTCAAAAATTCCAATGTTGGAGTCCTCTCTCAACATACCTCAGGATGTAACCTTATTTGGAGACAGGGTTTTTATAGAGGTAATCAAGTTAAAAAGAGGTCATTAGTTTGAGTCTTAATCCAACATGACTTGTTTCCTTATAAAAAGGAAAAATTTG